CATAAACACAAAACTTGAATCCAAAGTGTGTTTCGCTTTTCAATGAATGACTAGTTTTGCGGAAAAGTCTGTCATTTGTGCGGAAAAGCCATTCATAAGACATAAGACACGAGTGTTTTTGACCGCATTTTGGGGTCAAATGTTTGCCACAAAAGTAGCGCTCATTTCCCATTCAATACACAGCACTAGAGTTAGCCCACTGTTGGCCACCAGACGACTGTCCACTCACACCACCAACACTAACACCAGTAATACCGCGAATAATAGCCAGGTATTCATCACCCGGTGCTCGACGCCCTCACCCCTTCGCTCTATATACCATTCACAGTGGCTCTAAAATTACCCTGTTCACTATGTTATCATTTTTGCTATATTACTATTAATATACTTTTTTTTGTTACCCAATATAGCCGTCCAATGACCGGGATCGTTTGCACAATGTATACCAGCAACTGTCAGCATCGGTACGTATAATTGATGTGCACAGGGGTTGTGGGGCCGGTATGTATGGGAACAGTAGGTGACAGGCGGGTGACGTAACGCAAGCCTTTGGTTACATCATAGTGTGTCCGTCCCATTAGCATAGCGTTTGACACCGAAATCAAATGAAAAGCATTGAAGTGTTTTCATTGTTTTCACACTTTTTTTTGTAAAGTATAGCCTTTTTATACACAAAATGATTACTAGTTTTGCAGAATATTCTGTCAGAAAATCTATTTATTTTTAGCTCTATTTATGTACAGAATATTCTGCCGAATGTAATACCCGTACAAAACATGTGATTTATGTAATTCTGTGTGACTATAACCGGCACCGGTATGTCATACGCACACCACTTGTAATCACATACTAACGAACACTTTATTTGTCTGTATTGTGGGGCACCGGTATGTCTGACCCACCAGTTGCCCGGGTTCTTCGTGACTCAGCACTGTTTCCACATATACTCCCCGCACGTGGTCTTCGAGGACAACATCAGACACGTGAAGACAATAGGTCTGAACGCATACATCAAACAGATTGCGTTCATCAAGATCTGGGCGCACCTCAAGTATAGCAGCAAATCGTTGAATGTGCTCAAGATTACGGAACACCCGGAGGACATGACGGTGCGGGTCAGGTGGCGCATAGTTGGCACACCCGGCTTAGGCGTCATATTCATGTTCTGGAAGTACAGGTTCTGGAGTCCCGGGAAC